TGAAGTGCAGGAGTTGTATCATGTCAAGAGTTTTCTTAACTCAGTCAGCTTCCCCACTCACTGCAATGAAAGCATCCAATCCATGGGCTCAGTCCTTTGCATGTAACTGAAGATGAATGGATCTTTGAATTAGGTTGGCTATTTCAAGAAAGTCAGAACTAAACATTTCAACCTAATGGTGAAGCATCCTAATGGTATTAATAATTAAATTACCAAGTAGCAGATTTGAAGCAAAGGAAGCAGATATTTTCGAGATTATCACTTCTTATTGTAAGCTGCCTTAGAGATTTTTTGGTTTTAATATTTGTTGTTAGTCGCGAAGTCGTGTCCGACCCATCACGACCCCATGGACAACATTCCTCCAGGCCTTCCTGTCCTCCACGATCCGCGGAGTCCACTTAAGCTCACACCAACTGCTTCAGTGACTCCATCTGGCCACCTCATTCTCTGCCATCCCCTTCTTCTTTTGCCATCTATTGTTCCCAGCATTAGGCTCTTCTCCAGTGAGGCTTCCTTCTCATTAGGTGGCCAAAGTATTTGAGTTTCATCTTCAGTATCTGGCCTTCTAAAGAGTAGTCAGGGTTGGTCTCCTCTAGGACTAACAAATTTGATCGCCTAGCAGTCCAAGGGACTCGCAGGAGTCTCCTCCAGCACCACATTTCAAAGGCCTGAATTCTTCCGTGCTCAGCCTTCCTTATGGTCCAACTTTCACAGCCATACATTGCAACTGGGAAAACCATAGCCTTGACTATATGCACTTTGGTTTTAATATAGTGTACTTTTTAAAAAATGAATCATCAACCCATGCAGTTCATTTACATCAATTGATGAGTTTTTGCATTTCTTAGCTGCCTTTCAAGACAGCAGTCTTCCTAGATGGCTAAGAAAATAGCAAGTTTCAAAAAGATCAAGACAAAGCTAATGTATAAATGAGAAGGAATCATAGAATCATCAAATAGAGTTGGAAGGGGCCATGAAGACCATCAGGTCCAATCCGCAGTTGTTGCAGGACACCAGTTTACACCATCCCATTCAGATAGCTGTCCATGAGAAGGAGTAAGTTAATTATCCTTCTTAGCTTCTTATCCTCCCCTTCATTTCATTCCTCCTCCATCCCAATATTTTACTATATTGTTGCTAACAAATTTAGCAACATTTGTTAACTAAGATGGCTCAGACAATACTACTTCATCATCGTGGGGCTCAGGTCTTTATAAGATGAAAAGAGATTTCAAGGAACAGACCGTTTCCTCATAAAGAGATTCATGTGCTGATGTTGTGTGGCAGGCTCCCCAATGTGGTGTCTTCCAGGCATTTTGGATGACAACTCCAGGCATTCTTGCGTATTGGCTATGTTACCTTCATCCACCGGGAATTGAAGACCAAAATATGTGCAGGTACTGGGTAAGGGAAGGCAGCCCTATAGTTGACGCCAGATACAAGAATGGTAAATCTAGTCTGTAATTCATTTTAGTACAGCAGTTCTAATGATCTTAAACAACATTCTCAATAAAAAGTTATTACTTCTTGGAGTGGCTCATCTCAAGTGTCATTGAAATGCCTTGCATTTTTAGCTGTTACTCATTTAATCTAACAAATACTGAGAATCAAGTGTTGCAGAATTGAGAGCACTTCTGAATCACAGGGTCTCACTCTATTAAATCGGCATAACAGGGAACATATCTTCTCCCATGTTGTTCAGGACAATCTTTTGAATTAACATGAAGCAACAGATCCTTAATCATTATTTGTGCTCGTATCTGCACAGTAGCAGAAGCCCAGTTTTGTCCATGAGCATTACCATTCTTAGTCCTATACTTACACTTAGGGTAACTTAAAGAAATGATTTAAAAAAAAAATTCCTGTGAAGTGACCTAGTCTGCTACTCTCAAACCAGTGTGCAGATCAGAGCATAGCTGTCGGCCAGATTTTGTATTTCTTCTTTGCAGTGTGCTTTTTAGCCATTTAAACCCATATCTGTTCAGAGATGGAGAGAAAATATATGTTTAAATAGACAATTTAAGAGTATACTTTAAGAGGGATCTTTTAAAAATACTGGAAATAATGTGAAAAGGGAATGGAACAGAAATAAGGGTAGAATCATGTAGAAGTGACACAGATTAGTAATAAACTCATTCATTCCTGCCTGTAAAAACAAAACTTCCAGAGCTGGTGTGGCTGTTCCAGTGTTAGACTGGGGATCCAGGAGCTCTGGGTTCTAGTCTTTTCTCAGCCATGGAGCTAACCAGGGGATTTTGGGCCAGTCACAGATTTTCAGCCTAACCTAAAGGATAAAGAGCATACATGGAGCCATGCAAAAGGAGGAAAGGCAGGTTATAAATGTAATATAACAACAACAAGAACTCTCTAGAAATAAAGGAAGTGTCATATTTATTTCAAGTTAAAGCAGTTAAGGTGGTATCTACATGTTGAAACATAAATAAATACAAGAGGCAGTGTGGTTTTGAACACCAGTTGCTGGAGAACAGGAGCAGGAGGGTTCATGTCCTGCTTCCCAGGGCATCTTGTCAGCCACTAAGGGAAGAAAATGTTGGCCTTTAATCCAGCATGGCTCTTCCGTTCTTGATCCATGTTCTCCCTCCAGTTTAGATGAATCAGCAGCACCCCTGAAAAGTAATACTTGTGTATATCTTATTCCTGCTGTGTTGTAAAACTACAGCAGAAAGCAGGGTTTTCCTTTTTTTGAAGTTTTGAAAATAGTCCTTGCAAAAGGAAAAGGTGGGATATAAATCTAATAAATAGAGGAATGAAATGTTTTTCATTTGTAATATTTTTTTCAAAATATTTTTAAAATATTGCAAAATATGAGCTGTCTTGGAAATGCCTGTTAAGGCACAGCCCAGGATCCTGGCACCTTGGAAATTTTTGTAGAATTCCTTGTTACCTGGGGCATACCTGTTTTCTTTTGAGCAATGAAATGCTCTCCATGTGCTGTTGAATCTCTTGCAACTGTGCCAAGTATACAGAGTCCTGTATGTATGTGATGGGTTTGGATCTCCTGAAATATCTTTTAAAATGGCAGAATTTTCTCTTTAAAATTTTACTGTGTAGAGAAAACTGTGTGTGCATGTCCATATAGTTTCCATGTAGTGTTATGTATGCCCAACCCAGTATTTGGCCAACATGTGTTTGTGATGCATATTTTATGCTTTTCCTCTGTATTGTGCTGCAACCTATTTTTTCCTCTTTTTTTTCTTTTCTTTTTTTTTGCGTCAGAACATTCTGGAACACAGGAATTAGCATCTGTTTGCAAGTTGGGTGTGATTCTATGTCTTAAAGCAGGAATAGATGGAAGGGAGATCTGAATTACTGCACTAGATTGCCATAGTGGATTTGTGACTCATAATTGTTTGACAGTCATGGCTACAAAATAACTCTTTCTCTACCCATTGCCCCCAAATTATATTACTGAAATTAATAATGGTTCAAGTGACAAAGCATAGATTTGTATGTGGATCGGACCTCAAAACAAATTCCCGGGCTCAGGATTCTGTTATTCTGACTGTCTGTCTTTTGCACAAGCTTGTAATTTGTGGATTCAAAGTTCTAGGTTTTTGTTTTTTTAATAGATCCTGTAAGGCTGAAGTCTGTCCATCTTAGTGTTAAAGCTTGATTCCCAGCCTAGTTAAACAGCATTACCTGGACTTCTGCTAATCTCAGCACACATTCAGGAGGACTTCACTGGGACTAAGTCATCTCTAAATTAAGTCAGTGTGGTGAGGCAATTACAGGGTCTGACTAGCAATGGGGTAGGCACCTGAGCAGGATGATCTCAGAGTAAAATGTCCCAGGCCCTCTCTTGTCCTAACATACTTCTCAGGCTTGTACTCAAGACAAAAGCAGGGAGGGAAGAATCATACACCCTTTCCTGGGATCATGGAGGAGAGGACAACATGATATTGTTAATAGTAAATATTTGGGCTGAATTAATTTGTGATAGCTAACATTCTTAAGTAGCACCCATGATCTTTAAAATGTTTATAAAAACTTGTATTGAGCATGTAGTACAGTAGTGTGCCATCTCTTTCAGCCTGAGGGCCAAATTCAATTTCAGAGAAGCTGTCAAGAGCCAATTTCCTCCACTGGATAGGACCTAAGGGGCAAGGTCTAAAATACCATCATATTTTAGCTTGAAGCTCTTTCTGCCTGTAACTAAGCTTTAGGAGAGTCATTTCAACCTTTGAGAATAGCAAAAACAATGCACAAAAGCAGAGAAAGCCCCTTGCACTGTTAATTAGGGAAAAGCAGGTAAAGACGATGGAACCTGAGGACTGAATTGGCTTCTGGACTTAGGTTCTCCATCCTTGATGTAATTTAGGTTGCTTTTTGTTTTATGACATGTTCTACATTGTAACTGATAAATCCATTAGATTTAAATAAGTTTTCCTCTTACCCTAGCTTCAGTATATTTACTTTTGAGGAAAGTGTGAGAAATTGCAATAAACCAAGGTCTGCCATTTATTATGAGAAGACAAGATCATATTAATATTTCTACTCTTCCATTTCCTACAACAATTATGCACCACAGCCAAAATAATTTCAAAAATAAATCTTTAATTTGAACCTAACCATTGAATAATTTACCTGTATCAATTTATATGTGAAGCAACCAATCAACCAAAGCTTCAGTTGATATACTGATTTTACTTAATTAAAAGCTAATTAAATCTTGTATCCCTAGTAATAGTAATGAATTTTCCATAGTTTCAAATAGACTCCAACTGCTTGGACCCCACCTGTCAGCAAGATGGCATAACTTTGCTTTCTCTATAGTGAACTGAGGTCTGGGTCTGGTGTTATGCTTGATTCTAGGAGAGCTATTTGGTAATCGCTTCACATGGTGCTTTCCCTTGCCTTTGAAGTTAGATGTTTGGCCTGTTTTCTTTACTATTATCCTTGTTCATGTAAGGGAAGCCCTTCTGTTTAGAAAAATGTGTAGTTTCTGGGAGTTTGATTGTACTTTTCTCTCCTCTTTCCAGGAATGGATTAGCAAACTGCCGGATGCGGACAGACAGTGAGCCGTCCTGTGGCTCTCCAGTGGTTAGTGGTGACCCAAAGGAGGACCACAACTACAGCAGTGCCAAATCTTCCAACCACAGGAGCACCTCGCCCACCAGTGACTCTATTTCCTCTTCCTCTGCTGACGACCATTACGAATTCGTTACGAAAGGCAGCCGGGACAGTAGCGAGAGCAGTGAGGTCAGCTTCCATAGCCATGAGAGCCATAGTGAGGCAGAGGAAGAGGACAAAAGGCAGAGCCGAAAAGAGACCAAGGATTCTTTGGCTGACAGTGGGTACGCCTCTCAGCACAAGAAACGTCAGCATTTATTGAAGGCAAAAAAAGTACCAAGTGACACGCTGCCTCTTAAAAAGAGACGTACAGAGAAACCGCCAGAAAGTGACGACGAGGAGATGAAAGAAGCAGCTGGATCACTCCTACACTTGGCGGGAATTCGGTCTTGTTTGAACAACATCACCAATCGGACGGCAAAGGGGCAGAAAGAGCAAAAGGACACCACAAGAAATGAGAACAAATCCATTGATTGAACTTATAAAACAATTTCGTTTCAGTACGTCAGGTGAATTCTAATGATTTGTGGCAATATCAACAAATATTTTCTTCGTTCAGTTTTCTCTCTTTTTTTCCCCCCTCTCTCTCTTTCTCTTTGTGTTTGTTTCTTTTTGGAACCCTTAAGATTTTTTTTAATTATTTTTAAAGGAGATTGAAGCCATAGAACTCATACTGATACTCAACTAATTTTACAAAAGCTTTTCATTACATGAAGACAAAAAAGAAAGAAAGTAAAAGCCAAAATTGTCGTTGCTTTCTCCAGCTGTGTCAGAAATGCATGATTGAATATGTGGTGACATCGCCAGTTAATGTGAGAGAAGTAAAATTTGGCACTTGGAAAACTCTTATACTTAGAAGAAATTGGCTAATTTGGTAATTGTTCAGGCCAGGCAATTAGAATTACAAAAACAAACGGCCTTATGATTGGGTTCTGTGTGAATGTGTCTAGAGGTTTCGGGAAAGTCAGAGGCCCATATATGTTGTCCTCAGAACCAAGGATCACACAGTGGCGTTCTCTTGCAGTTGTGCCATAGCAATCTTGGAATAGCCACTGTAGACAGCTGCTCATACAGTAATGAACTATTAGTGCTTCATGTACTGTGTATGGCTCATAATGTGAAGACTTTTAATAAGTTTTAGATTATGGAAAACTGAACTGTGTATGCAATGAGTTCCAGTGAAATAAGGAGAAAGGGATGGAGGGGATAGGGTGGGGATTAGTGATATTCTTTAATCAATTAATTGTCTTCTATATTTAAATTAAAAGAATGTTTTTTAAAAAGCCATAAGCCTGAAGATTGGCACTGCCTGCAAAAATATTATGGGAAAACAAGCTATGAGTTCTTAACTGCCTGAGTGAAAAGCAATCAAGTCTAAAGAAAATTATGAGTAGATATTTAAGAAGGATCAAAATAAGAAAACTTTTTCTACAGGTCACAAAGATTTGATCTCATTAAGGAAAAAATGCTACAAAACCTGCCATTAGTATTGTATTGCCTATTTTTGTTTGTTTGTTTCAAAAAACAAATCCATGTTGGGCAAAAATATAAAATAATATTACATAGAGATGCTTATAGCACTCCTCAAAATGGTGTACCCAGTTAATGTCAGTCAGGATTCATCTGTGCAAAAATGACAATATATTTCCAGTTGTAACCACTGTAGCCAGCAGAAAATTCTGATCCGCATTGCATGGATTCCTTTCTGGGTGGGACTTGGGAGTACAAAATAAAACCCCCTTTTTTAATTCAAAGATAACAAAAGTTCTTGTAAGGTAAATAATGTATTTAGCATGAAGCATGAATTATTTTCATATAAATATAGAAAAATAGAGAAAAGGCTATGCCTCTAATTTTTAAGCCCTTAGGCTTAGTTTGTTTTTTGGGTTTTTGTTTTGGATTTTTGTTTCTTTTTTCTTTTTTCTTTTTTTTTGGAAGCAGGTGTTTTTAAGGTTTAACCTTTTTCAGGGACAAATACTGACTGTTGGGGAACTTACTCTGCAATATAAAAAATAAAATAAAACTTCATGCTCGGGTAGGGCTTGGATGGTTGAATTATATTGCCTTGTCTGCACATTCAGCCCCCTTCCCCTACTTCTCTGTTTTTGAACACGTTTGTCCTTTCTTTGTCTTTACATGTATTAACATTACGCAATAATTTGAGGGCAAAGCAAGTAGTGAGTGTGTATGATTTACGACTCCAGGAGGAGACACTGAATTAGGAGTGATGGAAGGGAGACAGGGAGAGAACCTACGATTTGGTTTGTGGGAGAAGATGGCACAAACCTGCTCATCTGCCATGACAGAGCATGTCAATGAAAGGGCTTTAATTTATGTTTGTTAGTGATGAATGGTTAAGAAGTATCTTGTATATGGTCATATCTCCTTTACAGTGATGATCCCATAATAGATTAAGAATTTGCAATAATGCCAACTTTAAAACAAAACCCTCTTATAATCCTCAGTGGTCATAAGCATGAGGTAATTTTGGGACATGTAAGCTGGAATCCAATGGTCTGCATTTCTGTCAATGGAAGTAGTTGTGGTGTTGTCTGGTGGGTTTGTTTCAGGGTGACTTGGACTGTGACAAAAACAGCAAAAAGCATTTTAGGGAATATAATTTAGCAAATAGGGAAATTTCATTCCAGGAAGTGTCTACTTCATGAATGGAAAACGTATGCTAACAGACTTGTAAAATACAACGTGCCGAATCAGGCTAGAAATTACATAGGTGCCTCAGCAAAGTTCAACTTATGTTGATTTTTTTGTCAAGTACAGTTCTGTTTACATATATCTATCCTGAAAAAGTAATACTGGTTTCAGGAGCAAAAAGAACACTTATAAGAGCTAAACAGTAAATGTAAGAGCTTTCTCTCTGAATGAGAGTGCCATACACATCCTGCTCTTAATTGCCATGGAGTTTTACCAGGCCTGAACAAACATGGCAAAACATTTAAAAATTGGCTACCTATTTAACAGAGTGAAATAAATGTTCTGCAATCAGTCTTTTCAGTCAAGAACAGGAAGGATTTTGAAGTCTGATTATTGTTGCTTATACCAATATTGTCACTTTCAGTATATGCTGTTGTGCATATAGTAAACACAGCATACAGTTTGATGCAGCAGTTTGAAGTCTAGATTGTGACAGAGAATCTTTGCTGAATTGCTAATTGAAATGTGGTCCAGAATCGGCTAGAATACTGGCTTGTACATTTGATTCAAAGAATGTTTGTGTAAGCTCTGACTTCTTGCTGCAATGGCAAGATATTGCGATGGCAGGTGTGGGTTCATGACATGATGCTGCATCTAGGCGACCTCTCCTTTGGTAAATACACCTGTGCAGCAGCCTTCCTGCCATTGACATCCATCAATGCCCTGAAAGCTGGATCACAAATTCTGGGCCATTGTGCACGTTGTGGGGACAAAACCCTTGAGAATGTCTTCTACACAATCCCCCCAAAAAATGATTTGGAGGTGTACAGTTTCATAACTGTCATTCCTTTTAGTGAAGTTTCTACAAGGGAAAAGTTTCTAGATAATTTATTTCAGCTTGTTTAGGAAAAGTTTCTACTTTTCATCCCTTGAGTGCTTTTTAAATCATTCATTTGTCACTCTAGTCTGTCTTGCTTTCCTTTGACAGAAGGCTTCTCTAACATACATTTTGCCTATAACGGGCATATAACCAAAATAACATCATTACTATCACAAATGTTTTGTGGACAAAATTGCTTTTTTTAGCAAGCATTTTGACTGATGATTCTTAACTTTTGTGAGGTGCAAATAAAGCCTCACTTAAATATCTAAAGTACTCAAAATTTATTAGGAACAGCTCAGGAACATAGATGGGTTTGTGTGTCACACAGCCACCTCAAACAAACTGTCATCTTAAAAAATGACAACCCAAAACAAAACTCCAGCATTACATTCTATGGTGCCAACTTCTGACCTTGATGCCAAGTTGAAATTAAAGCATTTGGATCAACCTGCAGACTTTAGCTGCACTGATGCTATTGCTCCTGTTCAATATCCTCAATGTTTGTTTTGGTTCAGATCCCTGTGCCACAGCCATTTTGAAAACAGTGATGGGAGAAGGATTTGTTCTTTTGTGTTCATTTTCAATGGCATCATCCTTATTAAAGAGCCTAAATATATAGTCACAGAACTCATGATAATTTATATATCTCACCGACAAATTATTTTGTGTCACCATTTTACTGTGGGAAGTATTTGCAAGGTAGTAATGTTAGGACAGTTGAAAAATGTATTATTATATTATTCTTAGTTGCTTAGATGCTGAAAATTCTGGGTATGATCCAGCTTCTGCGCAAGCCCTATGAGTATTCTGAACAAAGTGGCTGGGGGAAGGAGCACAAAGAGGTACAGGAGAGTGGCATGTAGCAGGCCTTTGGAACTCAGCAGGGTTCAGGTCACCTTTGGACAAAAGAGCCACTTCTCACCTCCCTGTGTGTTGCTAGTCCACAGTCCAGGCAGAGTCCAGGAGATGCTCATGGCAGCGAGAGCAAAGTCTGGCTCCAAGACACAGCATCAAAAGATCTCCCCAGGCTCTTTTATTTTAACAAATTCTGACTTCGCATCCTCAGTTAATCTGGTTTTATAACTGACAATAACAGACCTTTTTGTCGGTGACCAAATGCTGGCTACTTTGTGCAAGTATGCCACTGATCCATGTGTTCCAGTGTGCTTTGAATTAGACAATATACTTTACAGCTCTCCAAGGTGTGATGAAGCTGCTGCTACAATAGTGAAGCAAGGACTTTCTCATCCATTTCTTAATCAAAGGCTTGTATTTTGCACTGTCCCCAGTTCAGAAGTGAATGAGCACAGTTCTGCTTGCACAGAGGTCCATGTGCACAGTTAAACCTCAAGATTAGGGCTACTGTGGGCCCAACAACAAGCCACTCGTGTTTGTGGGAGGGCTTCAAGAGATACAGATCTAAAGTGAGAATGCCAACATGATGCAGCAAACATTTAAAGATTGGATTAGATGTTGAGACCTGACAGGCACTTCTATTTGCTCACACTTTGCCCTTTTGCATTGCATGTAGCCCTAGATAGAGGAGTCATCTCCAAGGTGACACCCCTATTTGAAAAATGCCATGAGCAAAGTGGTGGTGAGCAGTGTCAGCTGCCATAGAAAAGAACTGGATTTCAGTCTCACAGACTTAACAGAAGTTAGCTTTCCCACTTGTTCAGACTGCCTTGGAACTGTGGAATGGAAAGGAGATTTCAGAATCAAATAACTTTAGGACACAATTCTGTTTAGATAGAAAAGGTCCTACTAAGAAATAAGACTTTTTTCCATCTAAACAAGCATAGGGTTGTGCCCCTGCTGTACTAAGTTGAAACTTGTGTGATAAAATTAACTACTTCTGCTTTGCACACACAGATGATTAGGTGCTGTTTTATCTGCAAATAGGCACTGTGGTATTGAGGTTAACACATATGGATCTCATATATAGAAGCAGCTGACATTAGGATGAACATTAGCAAGAACAGGCTCCAGCAAGAACAGCTGGATTTCTATTTCCAACTTTGCAAAGTTTCTTAAAGTATTCTTCTAGCCCAGACCAAATCATTCATCCTCTTGGTTCAATAGTAGTTACATCTGCGAATGTTCTTCACAACTCTCCCTGAAAAACACTGTTATGCACATAAATGCAGCACTGTGATCTAATTTAAATAACTTTATTTATACTAAAATGTAATATACAGTAATACTTGTTATGGTGATAACCTTTAGCCCATCTCCTTGCTTTCTACTGTAGGGAATAAGCTGTAGTTCACAACACCCATTTTATTTTTCATATAAATCTATCAATAATTTGATGTAGTTTAATGTAGATTTTTAAATGATTACATAATATTCTGTGCCTCCCTCTGCATAAACTTTTCTTATAACTTTGTTCTTGCTTCTGTTAGTCCCTCACTCCACCCAATTTCCCTTTCATTCTCAATTTTTTGGCACTCTTTCTTGAGTCAGAATACAGAATTGTCAGCAGAGTGGCTTAACAGTCCATGAGATCTTTCCACAACTCAGCAAACGAGTACTTTCTTCACTGACCAAAGTTATTACTGTTGGTGCTGTATTTTGCTCCACATTTAAAATTACAAGATAAAAGTTTATAAAAGTTTGATAAAAGTGTTTTCATAGATCCTATCAAGCTCACTTTATTTTGATCAGGTCTTGTTAAAGCACTCAAAACTAGATGTAAAATATACATTCTTTTTACTGTGTTGTATTTTCAAATGAATGCAGAAAACTGCTTCTGTTCTTGCAATTCTAATAGAATCAGTACAGTGCTGAGAACCACTCTTTAGTGTTCAGTTCCAACAGAACATACTCAGAAGAAACAGAGCTTCTTGTAAGTAGGCTTTTTCTAAAAGCTAGAATCTCATAAATCAGCTTCTGGCAGGGAATGAAGAACAGAATCCAGCCAACTCCATCCCAAATAGCCAATCGGTAGGATGTCAGTATCTTGACAAAGCCAGCACAGAAATATAACCCTGATTATTGAACTGTGAAGAACTGTGACTTTCCTACATACTTTTCTCCCCAGTTCCATATCTCCATGAGGAAATCTGAATGTGGCATTTGTATTGCTCTGATATTTACTTAGATGCAAAGTAGCTGATATGTCTTCTGCATTGGATATTAACAACAATGGCTTGAAACCCAAATACTTTTTCCCTCTAATTCCTGCCTACTATGTTAATACAGTTTTATTTCTTTTTTAAGTTCATCTGTGAGCTATCTTTCAAGAAAGCTTGTGAGGAAAACAAGAGTTTGATCCTTCCTGGTTTCAGTTCTGTATGATACACACTCACTACTTCAGTTTGCCTTGGTGTCAAATGTTGGAAGGGATGGGGTTAGGGAATTGATTTCTGTGTGTGTGAAAAGCATTATGAACTTGTACATTTTTATACTCTTCTGTAATATTTTTGAAATATTTTTGTTCTGCAGAAAAAAGTGATGAAGCAATCAAAAGACCAATAAGTACAATATCAATGCTTTAGGGTTCATGAGACCTTCACTGGCCAATAGATTAATTTAGTACAGCAATAAGCCAATTTTTTTTCTTTCCTTTTTGTTTTTGGTTTTTATTCCTTGTTTTTTTAAAATGCTGTACTAGGTGTATGGAACTGCCAGTTTCATGAACATAAAATGAGAACTGTGATGGGGGCATAAACAGTGATGTTAAGTTGTATTTGTGTTTACCTAAATGAGCAGTTGAAAGGCAAGTGCAATCGGCCAGAAATATGGGGGGAAATGTTGATCTAGAGGCATACTTGCATTTACGTTTCTTGATGTGTAATCATATTGCCAAAGACAAACTCTTTCATCAGTTATTATTGTAAATAACACTTTCCCAAAACCTACCATAAAGTTTCTGTGATGTATTGTCTTCCAGTTGCAATAAAAATTACTGAGTTGCATCAATTGAATAATTGCTGTTCTGGGTTTGACTTGATTGTTTCATTTACTTAAAATTGTACCATGTCCTCCTTTAGATCAGGTAAAAGCAAGGAAGTACAACCTGCTTCAAATAAATAGCAAAAACAAAGGAAGCTTGAAAAAAATGGTTCTGGCTTATACTTGATATGTTTTTTACATTTGCCATACCTGGTTTTCCAAGAGTTCTAAGGGTTTCTTATATATGGGCATTTGTTTTATCTTCTCAGTAACCCCATCCAAAAGGAAGTAGGCTTGGTAGATCAGAAGCTTGCTCGCTCTCTCTCTCTCTCTCTCTCTCTCTCTCTCTCTCTCTCTCTCTCTCTCTCTCAGTGTGTGTGCATGGGGGGAAAGGGGGCTGGGGGAGGACAGTTGAGCGAGGCATTTTTTCTAGTTAGGATTTTTAATCAGCCAGCAAACAGCATGCCTCATGCTGGCCTGGACTGCATGTTGAAAAATCCCACTGTTGTAAACTGTAGGATGTTCAGAGCAATCAGGAGCATGCTGACTCTTCAACACTCACCCTCTCCTGGCATGTGAAACAAACCAGGGACACTCCATGATTGACACCCAGAACCATAGCATTGGGGGCTTTTCCACATATTTAACATGCCGCTTTACTAAGGCGTCTTCTTTTTTCTTTGCAGGAGGAAGAGTTTTTCCCCTCCATGGTTTGTCCTTCTCTGTTTTTCTATATATTCTGTTATCCAATAACAAGGCAGTACTATGGTATTTGTAGTATAGTGGTATTGCAAGGACACATGAGACTTTTCTTCCAGCTTGTCTCTCATTTGAAATTTAGCAGTGGACTTTCCTTATTCAAAGCCATGAAAGTGGCTGGAAAATATGGGAGATGCCCTGAAGGTTGATAACTTCAAGAAAAGTACCCACAAACTTCTGTGAGTTAAAGATCACAAGCACACACACTGGGTTGTTTCTCAGACTTACTTTCCTTGCCTCCTTCCACACACTTCCATACAACTTATGGTTAAAACAAACTTGGGGCTGTTAATCATGTGAACTAGGTCTCTGAATCAGACCACTGGTCCTTCTAGCTCAATGTTGTCTAAATGGACTGACAGTGACTTTCCGAGGTTTCCGGCAGGTGCTATTTCCAGGCCTACCAGAAGACATGGGAGTGAACTCTACCTTTAGCATACAAACCACATGTTCTAGCCCCAAATTTACCACATCTGCAGCCCTTGTGTGGAGGTACGAACTCACAAAAAATGACACTGTTATGGGAGGTGGTTTTATCGTATGTAAGAATAATTGACTATCTTTTCCAGCCTACTTTTGTCTACTCAAACTGGTGGTGGCCCTCCAGGATTCAAACATAGACCTCTCACATCTTCTGCTACCTGGGCCTTTTAATTAGAGACGTTAAAGACATTGCTGCAGATGATGGTGGTTCCTTCTGATCTGAATGGGTTCCCCATGAAGCTTTATTGCTTGGAGGTTCTGCTGGAGTCATTCTTGTCACTTGAGATTCAGGTAGATTCCTCTGTGTAACCATGCATCATATTGCACTTATATTGCATCATAAGCTTTGTGAACTACATTCAACTGTATTGGTCTACTATTTTACTAGAGCCCATGAAAACTTATAATTAATTTGCTAGTTTTTGAAGGTGCCCCAAGACTCTCTTGTTACATTAAGGATTTCAGTGATAATGTCTGCAAAGAGGACTATTAAATTGGCATGGTGTCGAGATATGAATTGTCCTATACCTCTGGATAGAGATTCATAGCTATGTCTGTTCACCCTGCCATCTTGCAGGCATAGTAATGCCATGCTAGGTAACGGAGACTGTTTAGAGAATTCAAACAAATTAACATTGGAAAGTTGACTTGGTGGGACCTTACCACCTGAATACAAGGTAATTGTATTTTCCTGAAAATGGAAAACAAAAAAATCTTAAGTGCCCTGTTTAATGGTGCGTATATACCCTGGTGGAAGCAGCAGCAAAACTGCATGCCGTAACTGACATACAAACGTAGCAATGGCTTCTGCACAAAATAGCTGTATTTCCCTCTGCATACTAGTTGCTGAGGAGCTCAAGTGGGAAGAGACTACTGTACTTCTCTCCTACTTGTAAGCTTCCTGGAGACAACTGCTATGTGAATAGTATGAGGGTCTGATTCTTCCTGCTGCTACTTCTCTTCCAACCCCTTTGTATGTGTTTAGTGCCTCCATTTCTTGCAGTACCGTATCACTGCTTCCATTTAACCAATTCCCCCTCTTGTGCTTTGCATCTTGGCTCCAGGTTAAGAAGCATCCACAGCACAACACTGCAGTGGGGAGTGTGCCTGTCCAAGACTCCAGTTACTCCAGAGACTGAGCCAAGCTAGACAATTCATGAAGTCACGTTATAAAAACTTACTCTAGATGAAGTTTCTGACACTGGTGGTGTTTGGATACCTGATGCACAATATTTTTCTTAGTGGAGCTGTGAGAGAGAAGATCTACATCTTTCAGCAGCTGCATTTTTAATCTTCTGTTTAAAGAATGCACACAGAGAGAAGACTCTCCTTGTCTAATTATCCCAGACATGCAGCAAATTCATGTTTTTATTTGTTTACTTTAATATTTACCCTACTTTTCTGCAAAAACCACTTATATAACAAATAGCCCACTTAAAAGAGAAAAAAGTTAAAGGAGCCAACAACAAGAGCAACTCTGATTATAATATTAAGCTATTAAAAACAGAAATTATGCTTCTCTTACATAAAAGCCACCCAAGCATTTATTCAGTCTTTGTTTCTTCTTAATGGGTTTGGCAGTAGCACATGTTCTGCCACCTGAGCACTAGCCCTTGCTGGATGTCCTTTGCTGGCTTTCTTCCAGCTTCTGCTGGCTTTCTCGTTCCAGCCACGTGATCACCTGTCTGACCCCCCTTCGTGCTCGGAGCTGTGATCATTGGCTAGTAGCCTTCCACTACCAAAAGACATGCTACAAAAGGCATGATTACAACTGCCAGCCTTTAGCTCTCACCTGTAAATATCAGCCAAGTGAGTGCCTAGAGAACAGTGTATCTCCTGAGCTGATGTATTCCTATACCCATTTCAAAGAGGGCTCTCTCTCACTTGGCAGCCATAGTCAACACCAATTCCTGCACAAACAGTCTGCGAAAGTCTGCTATTGCTGCAGAGGTGGATAGCTTTCCATATGATGCTTATTAGCAAACCAAATGGTTTTACATCTTCTCAAGATGCTGGATTCTGACCTCTGGAAGTGTCGAGCCATGTTCTCTGTGCCTTTTGGGAAGCCAGAAAAAGTGAGCAAGTGGGGAAGTGCTGGAGATTTGCTGCTGCTTTCATGAACAAAATCATTAATCACTTAGATGTCCAAGTCTTCTGGGTAAGCAGAATTGGTACTTTTATGCAACTCCCTTCAGTTCCAACTGCAGTAAAATTTGTGGGGTGTATCAGTGAGCTATCTAGTAAAGAGTGAGTTGTATGCCTTCTGTGGCTTGATGATCCAACAGCACAGCTAGCCTTCCCAGTGTGCTTCCTGTCACAGAATGCTGGAAGTTGCAAATGGAAGCTATTTGTGGTTGGTATAATAATTTGATGTACAAAGACAATATCTCCCAATGGCCCTCACTCTAGGAGGGTCCCATGAAGTGGCATATCACTATTTGGTGTGAATTGTAATTACACCTGGGGCTGGGAAACTTAATTTTCTGGCAAGAATGCAACCACCAAAGCATGTGAAAACAACTCTTTTCTGGCTCCTTAAAGACTAACACGCTTGTTCTGTCATGAACTTGTGTAGACAAAGTCTACTTCATCAAATGCAGGAATTGCCAACCTCACATTTGGCATATTTCCACACGTAAGCTGGAACAGAGTGGGCTGGAGATCTATATCGTGTTATCAGAGAGTACAGACCGTGAAAATTGCCATTCACAAAAACGTTTGACAAAACAGACATCATTGCAAGCATGAGCCAATTAACACAGGAAGGGTGATAAAAATAATTCCTTCAAACCCCAGGAAAGAAGGGTTTCATTGATATCTTTGTTCAAGAAAGGTCATTTACAGAGTGTCTTGAGAGACTGAAATATTCAGTCACTGGTTTCTGAATGTTGCCATTTCTGCCATTGGATCTGTGTTAATTTCTTTTTATTTGTTTTGTGTACTCCGTTATCAGGTCCTGGAATAGTGTCGATGGAGAAGACATGGGGCAGAATCAGCATCTGGATCTGCCTCACAGCCGTTTTCCTGTGGCTGAGTCTCCTTCGTATGGTCCGTTGTTGCTGGTAGGTAAGGATGAACAGATCTGGTTAAAACTGTTCCATCTGTGTTTTGCAGATTGTTGGGCATCTTTCACTCTATCATCTGCTCATTGATGGAATGCAAACACACACAATTACATGAATCTACCTCACTTTTTTTTTAAGGTTCACTAGTCTGTGGGATCTGTATGTCAGGTTCAAAGAAATCTCATTTAAATCTGCTGTGGATTTCTTCAACTACTGGATGGCATATTAAAGAAAAAAGCAGGCAATCGTGACCGCCACTGAATTTATTAGGATCCAGTCCTATGTAGTTTAATGATAGAACATCTTCAGACCTGGCCAGCAATTCAGTTCTTTGCTTCCTCAATTGAACTTTGTCATTAGCTCTCTCCCTTTGCCCTTTAGTTTAGCCCCACTGCCTTCTTGTCTACATGGATTATTTTCACAAGGCTCCTGTAAATATACTCCATAAAAGCTACAATGACAAGCTGGTCTCTCTCCCTATTCCCTCTTGCACCTTTCCTCCCACCTATCCCTGTGAACATCATAGGATGTCGAAGACTTATTGTCCAAGCAGGGCCTCACAGATCCAATTAAATCTGTTTCTGCATCAACACTGCTTTTAAGCAAAATATATCGATTGGTGAAGCTTTGGACCCACTTTAATCAAGTAATCTAAACAGGGCTTAAGCTTCAAAAGCCTTGGTGATGCTCCTAGCTTCAAAGCTCTGACTTACAGTGAATTAATT